TCCACACATTTAGAAGGAAAAAAAAACACTTTTACACTAAGGCTTCTCCGCTTTCCCCCTTCTACAGAAACTTGTTTCTTAGGAAATATGCTCATGGTTGTTTCAAAGCAGTCTTGAATGGGATAGGTGAGGCAGAAGTAGTTTTGCTGGTGACATTGACAGTACTGAGTTCTGACCCTTCCCCATGTAAACATCTAAACTTTTTAGGAAAAAGTTTGGAAGGAGCAGTAGGAAATTTCATGCCAATCCTAAAGTTGTTTTTTTATTGAAGTGACTGAATATGAACAAAAGAGGCTATACTTTATATAAAACTTCCATAATTGATAATGTTTCATTTATAAATATTAAATGTTGTTCACTTGGAAATATGCTTTTTGGTCTGATTTATCAACTCTTGTGCCTTCTGATTTCATTTTTTTTTGTATTTTGTGTTTTTGTTTTGTCATTTTAAAAATGTATTTAATAAATAAGTACATTTATTAAATGTATTTCACCCAGTGTCACAGCTTATGAGATAGGCAAGCATATACATTTGATAAATAAAGTGTACAGCTATTTTTATGATCCTATGTGTCATTCTGCAATAGCTACTAATATAAATAATTACTGATATGCAATATTAGCTATAAAGTATTAGAAATAATAAGATATTTCATAGCAACATCACTGTTTTAATTGACAGAGATATTCACATTCTGTCTCCAGTCCACCCAAAAAAAGTGAGAGAAGCAAATATTCAAATTTTTGTTTTTGCCATTACCCAATCATTCTGCCCTCTACATTTTGTCAAATTATCTATGCTGTTCCACATACTGATGTTTCCAGATGTTTAGAGATTAGAGCTGTCTAATATGCTGGCTAAGGTCCCCCCCTGAAATTGGTTGCAGTTACTTCAAGAGAAGGTTGGTGTAAGGAGTAACCAAGACAATAAAAAGAGATGGACCATTTCTTTGCACCTGTGTGCTCTTTTGACCACTAGAACAAATGGGGAGAGACTGGATGGATATAATTTAGATAGAACTGAGCTTGTTCTATCTTCATACATTCCTTAAGAAGTGTAGCTTTTACTTCATATTGAATTAATGTTTAATAGCAATAACATTTAGACTTATATACCACTTCACACTGCTTTACAGCCCTCTCTAAGCCATTCACAAAGTCAGCATATTGCCCCCAACTATCTGGGTCCTCATTTTATTGACCTCAGAAGAATGGAAGACTGAGTCAACCTTGAACCTGGTGAAAGGGCTAAACTGCTAGTAATTGGCAATCAGCAGAAGTAGGCTGCAGTACTGAATTCTAACCACTGAGTACCATAGCTCTAAATGGCTAATTCTATAATCTGCATTCAAAGGAACTCCTGTTTCTTTTAAGGAATATATATATATATAAATTCTGTTAAGGAAGATAAGAATCTATTTAATTCAATTCAAATCTCTAACACTAAGTGTGTGTGTGTGTGTGTGTGTGTGTGTGTGTGTGTGTGTGTGTGTGTGTGTGTGTGAGAGAGAGAGAGAGAGAGAGAGAGAGAGAGAGAATAACAATGCATGGTACTGTATATATTAGAGACATAATTTAATTCCTAACATTTAAGTCAACTTACTTAGTAATAGGAAAAGGTAGAATATGAAATATTAAGGAAAAAGACAATGGCAAATCATTCCAAAATCTTGCCAAGAAAAGTTTAGGACTTATCCAGCATCACTTGAGGATACACATGGACACTCTTATATTTAAGAAGCATTACTGATTTTTTTAACTCTTTAAAGTAGCAATTGTATATAGAAAGTGGCTTTGAATATCTGGGAGTTTTCAAATTCCCCAGGGCATTATCATTTAGAGTAGGGGTGTCAAACTCATGATAACACATCCTGTGAGCAACGTTCCCCCTTTTCACTAAAACATGGGTGGACATAGCCAGCATATGACACATCTGGCCAATGGGATGCAAGTTTCACATCTCTGATCTAGATACTTGTTCTCTTCCTCTGTGAGTTAATTTCTACACTAGAGGCTGCATCCTTTTATACAGGATAAATGCTAAGTTAGGATTTTTTTTAGAGGAAGTCAGTTAGGTTTCACTTTAATTATTCCTTTCATTGAGATCAACCATGAGGTAAATCTAGACACCAAGATAAGATTCTATAGCAAATTTGATGCTGATGGTGAGAGAAATCTGAAAGCTTTTGCAGAAGTAATTATATACTATATTGTAAGACTGTTATTCCTCTTTATGCTATTGGCCAGGAATATCTTTAAATTCAAAATGATCATGTCAAATTCCACTTTACCTTGAGCATACATCAAAGGCAGAAAACATGTCCTACTACCAGCAGATAGTATTGGAATACATAGATTTAGGAGGTACTGTGGTGTCTTATTCTAGGTCACACTTCCCCAGCTTGGTATTTTCTAGATGTCTTGGAAATAGAACAGCTGAAATTCCTCAAATCACATTTCTAAAAGGACTGAACTTTGTGAGTGGACTGGATTTAAATCAAGCATGAATATAAGAATAAGGAAGAAGAGTTACTCATCTCAACACGTGATGCAACTTTGGCCCATCTGTTTTCTAAATATTTTCTTCCCAATGAAATGTCCAACTCTTTGGGGATTTACAGGTACCCAAACTCCAACCAGCTTGGCCCTTTGAAATACTTTGAGATGTAGTACTAAAATATTGAGAAGACTACAGTTTGGGAAGGCTACATGTTGTAAACAGCGTACATTTATTTGCACTTTTTTGATTACTAGGGCAAATGGGGTAATGATAGAGATTTTCAGATGCTGTTCCTTTGCCTGTTTCTCACCTGCCTTACTACTCTTAACTAAGGAGTCATTTAGACTCACAGAAGCAAGCCACCATGGTACCAAGCACTTATAGCTCAACATAACATTAATAGTTTCCCTGTTATCAGGTGGTTTGGTAAAATATGCATGTAAAGCCTATCACAAGCATATCACATTTGTTTTTCCTCTCCCAAGTGTTCAATTTCTTCTCCCAAGAGTTATTTGAGTCTTTCTCTTATTCTTGAGAAACATTTTTGGCACTTTTGCTATTTTTTAACTATAGCAATAGTGTGTTTAAAGAGCTATGTTGTCTGGCAGTTTTCAGAGGTCCCTGTGTATCATCACATCATCTAGAGACATTCCCCCCCGCTAGGACAGACTAAGTTAATTTATACAGTAGAGACTATGCCTTTGCATATAAATTAAAACCAAAGCTAAGACAGTGTCTTTTTTAGAGACAGTGTTCAGTTGGGTTTCATTCAATTACTCCTTTTGTTTACATCAGTCATGAATAAAATATAAAGATCAAGGTAAGATTCCATGCAGAACATGGTGCTGCAGTGAGAGAAAATCCTCACTGAATATTAGACTCTAACAGTTAATTCCACGATATGTGGCTGGACTATTATTCCTGGATCTAATATTGGACAAATAAATCTTCTCCCAGAATGATCCATTTTTTCCAAAAACAAAATAAATTGTGATTTAGAGCTCTGTTCAGTATCATTGAGGTTAGTTTTTAATTTTTTTAAAAAAGGTCAATTTTTGTTATTCTTTTATAAAATCAGTAAACTGCTCAGATTTTTTTTAAAAAAGAAAACCAGCATTAAAGAATAGAAGTTTCACTCAGGGAATGGAGGATGTATGAACGTATAGCAATAGTTCATAGTCTGGTACTCTGGCTGAAAATTCTGGGAACAGCCATCCCAAAATATCTAGCAGGTGCTGAGTTAGAGGGAGCTACTTTGAAAGAGGATGTTTCTTGAAAAAAAATAGTAACCAAGAGTTATACTACTCTAAAGATTAATATCAAATTTCTAAGTAGAGACACTTCCAAAGTTTTAGTTCTTATTTTTCTCAGATATGCTGTGCAATTTATTAGCTCTTAAGTTACCCACAGAATGCCTATACTTCTCCCATCCCTCCAGCCCCACCTTCACAAAGGGAAAGATTATCTATTTCTTAGGAGCAGTGTTTATCTAATGTAGTTTATTGCTTATATGTTTAGGACTTTCTATGTGAAATATGAAAAAGAATGGGGACATCTGTGTATAGTTTTTCCCAGATGTACAGCTACTGATTACTGCACATTCAAAGAATGTACACTTGAATATTTTGTTTGAAAATTGAGAGAGAAAAATGGCACAAAACTTGATAATATACATGTGAGATGCTGTTTTAAGATAGTTTTCTTAACAATAGGAAAATATAGGAAATTAAACATTAAATGTAAATATTGATTCCAAGTTAGAAATAGCAATACATACCACACTTTGCATAAGTTTCTGAAACAAACCAATGGCAGAAACAAGCAGAACAATTATCTTGTGAGAAAATCTTAATTAGGATATTTACTGGATGAATATAATTGGGTTAACTGGGCAGTGAGCATATTATGAAAACACTACTGATATGAAACAGAGTGCAATTTCAAACTTTTCTTTGCTCGTATATTTACCAAGTGATTCTTTCTCAACTTCCTTCCTTCTTTCCTTCCTTTGCCCCTCCCTCCCTCCCTCCCTCGAAATTACCATTTCAGTTCATCATAAATATGATACTATATTTGTAGAAGTCTGGATCAGGATTCAAGAAAATATGGATCACATCCCAACAAAATATTATTGAAAATGTAAAATATTCCCTTGCTCACCTAAGTAATTGTGACTCAACTGAAAAAACTAGGCAGAGTCAATTCAGTTGGATATCAGATGAGGGACTCACAAGAAACTAAGGAGGGTGGGGCAGTGACAAATCAAGGGGAAAATACAACTACTTTCACTTCATAATTTTAATGCAAAATTAAACTATGGGTTGTCCAAAACTTTTTATTGATGTTCTGAATGAATGTTAATTAATAGAATGATAGCATAAACACTATTTCTACCTACTTTACTTAACTCGCACAGAGTTCAATGAAATCCCTCCAAATATAAGGACTGCAGTAATAATTTCTGTGAACTTGAAATAAATTTAGTATTGTATTAGCAGGCATGGCAGAAAGAAAAGAAGAGAATCAAACAGAAATCACAGAATTCCATTTGATGGGATTTGTAGGACTTGGAGATCTGCAGATTCCACTCTTCTGCCTTTTCTTAGTTATCTATATTGCTACTATGGTGGGGAATATCCTCATTATTTTGCTGGTTGTTACTAATCCCCACCTTCACACACCCATGTATTTCTTTCTGAGTAATCTCTCTTGCCTGGAGGTCTGCTACAGTTGTAACATCCTTCCAATTATGCTGGCTAATGTCTTGTATGGTGGGCAGACTACAGTCTCTGTAACTGGCTGCATAATGCAACATTGCCTTTTTTGTCTTTTGGTAATTTTTGAATGTTGCCTCTTACTGGCAATGTCCTATGATAGGTATGTAGCAATCTGCAAACCGCTCCATTACACAACACTAATGAATGATAAAGTTTGCATCCAACTCATAATTGGATCATGGATCCATAGTTTATTTGTCATGAGCATAGTTTTATATCTCATGTGTCAGTTAAAGTTTTGTGGCCCAAATGAAATCCATCATTTCTTTTGTGAATTAAATCCAATATCAAAGTTAGCATGCAGTGATATTCACTTGATTGAACTTGTCACTATTTCATTATCTGCTCTGAGCATCTTGTTTCCTTTCTTCTTGATTTTGGTGTCTTATATTTTCATTATTTCCACCATCATGAGAATGTCATCTGTCAGTGGCAGGAAAAAGGCTTTCTCAACTTGTTCGTCACATCTTATAGTGGTGTCCATTTACTTTAGCACCTTAATCATAGTCTACATGTTGCCAAAAACAGATGGGCTGCGAGAAATCAACAAAGTGTTGTGTTTGTTTTATACAATTGTGACCCCTTTGTTCAACCCCCTGATATACAGCTTACGAAACAGGGAAGTAACAGAGGCACTTAAAAAACTAATTGCTACCCTGTTTCTCCAAAAATAAGACCTCACCAGATAATAGGCCCAATTGGGCTTTACAGCGCATGCGCTAAAATAAGCCCTCCCCGAAAATATTGCAACATAGCAGCAGCCATGAGGTGACCACACTCACTGCCTCCTGCACCTCAAAAATAACAAGACCTCTTCAAAAATAAGGCCAAGTGCTTATTTTGGGGATCAAAAGAAAATAAGACCCTGTTTTATTTTCTGGGAAACACAGTAGATTATACCTTTTCCTTTGAAATATCTTTTTTTAATGTATCATTTTTAATGTATTTCTTTAAAATAATGTAAAATTGTGTGTGAAACTATTTTTTTAAAGTATGATCACTGAGAGGAATTGCTAAGAATTGTCTGGAAGTCCTTTTTTAGATTTTTAAAATGTTTTTTGTTCCTTTATTTTTTTTCTATCTCCCTTTTTCTTTGTCTCTTCTATTTCTTTCTTTTCTTTTTTTAATTACATTTCCTATATATTTTTCTTGGTTCAGACAACAGTATATGTTTTAGAGTACATGTTAGAGAGTTTCATGTATTTTTGTTATACACATAAATTCCTCTAATGGGAATTATTTTAAAAAATATTTTAAAAAATCACTTGCTAAATTGTCTACAATTGGAAAAATGCACCACTGTAATGCGGTTTAAACAGTTTGGACATTTTTAGATTTGTTATTCTCTAATAAATCCCAAATTTTAGATACTTTGAAGACATCATACATTTCTATATTGGTCTAAAATGGTATATTAGAGATTATGGACATTAAAGAATTCTACCATACACTTAGCTTTCTTACCTAAGAAAGTCAAAAGATGGTGATAGTTACACATGGGAATATTGTTGGTTTTCATGGTACTGTTTAAAAAAATAAGCTCTGGTAAATTGTAATTGATTTTGTTAAATGTATGAGGTGTCTTTTAACTTCGAATGGAACACATTTAGAAGAAACTCTTTCAGGAGTATCTACTTGCTACACTATGAAATAAGATTATGGTTGTATCAAACAATATGGTATTTTGAGAGTGAGAGACAAAGAGAGAGGTAGAATTGCTACTGAATCTGCAAATGTTGAGTTATAGCCCTTCCACCATTGATTGTCTGGCTTTTTTAGGAAATAGTGTGGAAGAAGAGACAGAAAAATTCTATCTCTGTCACTCTGTCACTTCATGTCAGAATCTGCAGTGATTCTGGTCAACAGCACCTCTTTTTTTGTAATATAAATTTATAAATGTAAATTTAATAAAATAAAAAAGAAATAAATCTTTCCCCAGGCAATTTTCCACATTGTTCAATTTGTACTTTGTTATTGACAGAGCCAATAATTTTAAGTTCTTACACTATAATACCAATATTTGATATAATACATTATGAATGATAACTTTTATTGGGATCATGTAAAAATGTTTTATATGTTATAGAGATTTGTGTATATCTAATGTATTAGGTAAAAATCTGTGTCCCAGTGAAATCAATCCTTTTTTGTTGATTTAAATCCATATTAAAGTTCATATGAAATGACACTTGTCTGAACTTGTAATTATTTTGCTATCAGTTCTGTGTGCTGTGCCTCCTTTCTTCTTGACTTGGGTTCATATAGTCTCATTATTTCTAACATTATGAGAATCTTGTTTGTTGTGGGAGGCAGAAAGACTTTTGAATTTATTCTTCATATGTCGTAGTAATAACTATTTTTATAGCACAAAGATCCACTTTTGTCTAATGGTTAAGGCATCAGGCTAGAAATGGGAGACTGTGAGATCCAGTCCAAACTTAGTCATAAAAGCCAGCTGAGTGACTTGGACCATTCATTCTCTCTCAGCCTAACTCACCTCAAAGAGTAGTTGTAGAGAAATTAGAGGAGGGAATTTTGTTGATTGTTACTGATCCTCACTTTCACCCTGATATATTTCTTCTTAGGTACCACCATCATTCCTGCTACAATTCTAACATCCCCCCAATAATGCTGACTAAGCTCTTATATGGTGGAGTGGGAACAATTTTTGTAAGTGGTTGTATGATACTATTTTTTGGTGCTTTGACAGTTCTGGAATGTTATCATCTAGCAGCAATGTCTTATTATAAGTATGTAGCAATCTGTGAACCACTGTATAACAGAGCACTAATGGATTATAAAGCTTCCCTCCATCTTATAGCTGGATCATGGATCAATGTTTTACTTGTTATGAACATTATTATATATCTAATTCTTCAATTAAAGTTCAGTTGCCCCAATGAAATTAATAATTTCTTTTATAAATTAAATCCAATATTAAGGCTAGCATGCAATGATTCCCAATTGATTGAACTTGTTATTCTTTTGTAATCTGTCTTATGTATATTGTCTCCTGTCTTAATTTTACTTCTTTACTTTAGTATGCCATCTTTCTATTTTTCTACCATTATGAGAATGTGGTCAGTAAGTGGGATACAAAGGGTTTTTGTAACTTGCTTCTCACATCTTATGGTTGTGACATATTTTTAAATAATACAATGATGATTATCTACATACTTCTCAAAATAGATGGACTGAGAGAAATCATTGAAGTCCTGCCCCTATTTTATACCATTCTGATATCTTTGTTTAATCTGTTGATACTTAGGTATGAAACAGGTCCTTAGAATAGAGTTGCTAAATTGTATATTGTATATAAACTGAAAGACTGCATCATTGTAACCTAATATTACTACCATTTTAAAAATGTTTCTAAAGATCTAGCACTGTTATATTTGCTTGTCTCTAAAACCATGAATGTAAGATTGGGGCATTTAATAATTCTGCCATGAACTTGCTCTTTCCATTTAAGAAAGCCAAAGGAGGGTAAATACTAAGGGAATTTAGACAGTGAACATTCTACGTTGACTTGTATTATTTTTTATTAATTGTACAAGGTAACTTTGAATACAAACATGTCACTAAAAGGCAAAAATCATGAAACTGCCTTATTTACTTTAGCCATGTTATGCATGGGAATTCCCTGGACAAAATAATTATGTTTGGAAGAGTTAGTGGTAAAATGAAACCAGGCCATCAATGAAGATGGTGGCTGGACACCAACATAGGGTTGGTGACACCACCCAGAACATAGAAAAACTCAAGAAGTGCATGATTGGAAGATGGGGAGAGATGAGGCCCATAGTATCACCAAGAATTGGACACAACAGAATGGATAACATCATCATCATCAGTATCAGCTTGAAAGTTTCTTCAATCTAACTTTGATTGAAGGTATGATCATATTTTATATATCTATCCATCAATGTACTACTAAAACACTTGTATTCTGAATTTACTATGCATAGATTGTGTCATAAATTAAGCATATATAGGCTTAGTATACTACTAAAACTCTAATTCCAATAAACTTTAACTGGGTGAAATCGTGCATCTCAGGGCATATTTTTTTTTTGAATCAAGGTATCTCAAATGAGCTAACTAACATACAGAATGTGCCTAAAATCCAGAAATCCTTACGCCCATGTAACTAAAATTTGGCAAATTGTATACATCATCTTATGAATAAAATATAATAAATCATTTTATGACACAGTACGTAAGTGTCATAAAACATTTTCTGTGGTCAGCTCCTGATGCTTGCTTTATACAGTTTAATAAATGTTATAAACAAACAGACAAAAATAGAATTTTCAAGCCAGGAACATCTCTAAATTTCTTCCTTTATTTTAACATTTTTCTTCAGTGAAGAAGGTACATTAGAATATTTGTTTCATATATGTGATACATTATTAAATTACACTTTAAAATTTTTAACAATAAAATATTTAAAAAGTCTTGTAATGGGAAGATTCTGAGTAACAACAACAACAACAACAACAAAAATAATTTTCCTGACTCTATTCAGTCTTGTGAGAAGCTGGCAAGAGTTATTTGAGATCTGGAAGAATTGAGTAATTAAGTATTTCTGAAACCATTACCCAACCAGTCAAATGCTGCTAGAAAATTCTGGATCCAACTTTCAATTGGAGATACTTTTGAAGCCATATTTCTCATTTTTCTCAGATATACTGTGCAATTTATTAATTCCAAAAATCCCCCTCAGAAAGCTAAACAAATGCACCTATTCATTTTTCTCTCTCCCTCCTCCTCAGAAGGGAAAGATTTAATGCTTTTTTAGAAGCAGTGTCTATGTAGTAATAGAGTTTACTGCTTACATATTAAGGATTTGCTATATAAAATGTGAAAATAATGTTAAAATTAACATATAGTTTTCCCCCATTGTATAGTTATTGATTATTGCATATTCCAAAAATGAAGCATAGATTTTTTTTTTGCTGGGTTTTTTTTAGACAGAGAGAGAAAAAGAAAAGCACAAGGCCTATATATAAGCAACACAATTTAATTCCTAACATTTAAATCAGATGATTTAACAAAAATATAGGAAGTTAGATAATACATACAATATAGATTTCATATCCTAAGCGGAAAAAAATAAGTGAAGTTTCATGCTTTGATTACATTCCTACATGAATAAGGAAAAAGGGAAAAGATAAGTAGGATAGTGATTATGTAAAATAATCTACCACTGGATTTTTATTTGGCAGGGTATGATTAGGATAAGTGAACATGGAACATGCTGTGGAAACTGAGCATAACTAGAGACAAGTAGAGTGCAAATGCACATTTTTTTTGTGCTCATCTATACAAAGTGACCAGAAATTTCAGCAAAGGAATAGTAGTTAATATGATAAAGTCTTCCAATATTTGAAAGGATACCCCAGAGAAGAAGGATAACCTATTCTCCAGACTACTTGAGCTCAGGCCAGAAATGGCAGATGGAAACTTATCAAGAAGGGATCCAATTTAGAACCAAGGAAGGATTTCCTAGCAATGAGAACAATTAATCACTGGAATGGCTTGTCTCCAGAAGTTTGGGTACTCCATGAATGGAAGTTATTCAGAACAGATTGGAGAGCCATTTGTCTGGAATGATATAGGGTCTTCTGCATAAATGAAGAGTTGGACTAAAAGACCTCCAAAGTCCCTTCCAATTCTGTTATTCTATATTCTATAAAGTGGTGCTCCCTCATTGGCTGGACCAAACATGAGAATTTCCACTTGGCATGATCCAAAATTTTCTCAAGGGGAGCTATATTAATATTGCCAGGTATCCAAGACATTCCTAAAGTAGTCTGTGGGCTATTAATTGTAGAGCAACATTATTTGCAGCTAACAGTCCACTGACCTTTGGCTTTAATTTATAATCTAGGATATAAAATAAATCAAATTGCTTCTCAAATTCTCAGCTCTCTTTATCACTGCACATGCAAGACATAGCTGTGAAATGGAGCTAGCAACTTCTAATTCTGTATTTTTATTACAAATAAAGTAATCCCTTTTCCTACAGAGAGATAGGAAGAAAATACCTCCTCAGTTCATTGGTAAATGTGAGACACATCAAATTAGACATCAGAGAAGCTCTTAGGAAAATAAACAGAACTGGAAAATAATCCTTCCTAATCTAATTTCATAATAGTTAGTTGAGAAGAAATAAAGGGATTAGCAAAGATGCTTGTTCAGATGGTGACAATAGCTTTTATTAAGCTGGTGTATTACATTCAATGAAGTCATGGTTTTCTGGTGATTCTACAATTCTCCTGGGCACTGGCACTTAGAGAGATATTATCTTCCCTCAGGTAAACAAAATGTTATGTATAGTAGAGATTTACACTGCTTTATATATAAATATCAAATAAGGATGATGCATAGATGCAGTTTGACAGAAACAATGAGCAGCCAGGATTTGGATTAATTTACTCAGCCAGATTTAGGGATGTTGATGACTAGTGATGAACATATTTTTGATACTATTTTGATAGTGATAGATGCCACAAATCTTCTCACTTCACAGAAAAGCTGTCTTTTAAAGGTAAGTTATTTCACTCCCTCATTTAGAATAGGAAGTAAAACTATGATAAGCTTTCACAGAATAAATGGGTTTGATGTTCCATCTTTGATTATGCTTTGCCTTGGCAGTATGTCCGTCCATCCATCCATCCATCCATCCATCCATCCATCCATCCATCCATCCATCCTCCCCTCTCCCTTCCTCCCTCTCCCTCTGCCTCTTCCTCTCTCACACACAAAAATCCATCCATCCATCCATCCATCCATCCATCCATCCATCCATCTATCTAATATATAGTTTATAAGATAAAATGGTAACAAATGAGTAACACTTTGAACATGTAAAATCAGTGTTGTATGCTCTTTACAGGTATGAGCTAGTAAATATGGAGAAAATGGAAGAAAAAAACTTAACAGATATCATGGAATTCCATTTGGTAGGATTTGTAGGACTTGGGGATCTGCAGGTTCCACTCTTCTGCCTCTTCTTACTTATCTACATTGCTACCATGGCTGGGAATATCCTCATTATTTTGCTTGTTGCTACTGATCCTCATCTTCACACCCCCATGTACCTCTTCCTAAGTAATCTCTCTTGCCTGGAGATCTGCTATAGTTCTAATATCCTTCCAATGATGCTGTCTAATGTCTTGTATGGTGGGCAGAAAACAATTCCTGTCACTGGCTGCATAATGCAACATTATCTTTTTGGTCTTTTGGGATCTTCAGAATGTTGCCTCCTAGGAGCAATGTCCTATGATAGATATGTAGCAATCTGTAAACCACTGCATTACACAATCCTAATGAACAATAGAGTTTGCCTCCAGCTTATAGCTGGATCATGGATAAATAGTTTACTTGTTATGGGTATAGTTTTATATTTAATGTTTAAGTTAAAATTCTGTGGCCCTAATGAAATCAATCATTTCTTTTGTGAATTGAATCCAATATTAAAGCTAGCCTGCAGTGATACCCGCTTGATTGAACTTGTCACAATTTCAATATCTGTCGTATGTATTTTGCCTCCTTTCTTCTTAACCTTGTTGTCATATAGTTACATTATTTTTAATATAATGAGAATGTCATCCGTCAGTGGCAGGAAAAAGGCTTTCTCAACCTGCTCCTCACACCTCGTGGTGGTGTCCATTTTCTATAGCACCTTAATGATTGTCTATATTTTGCCTAAAACAGATAGCCTGCGAAATATTAATAAAGTCTTGTCTTTATTTTATACAATCCTGACCCCTTTGTTCAATCCTCTGATATACAGCCTACGCAACAGGGAAGTGAAAGAGGCCTACCGAAGAGGGATTGCTAAATGGTATAAAATTAAAAAACATGCACCAGTGTAATTTTTTTTTAAAAAAGCTTGCTTGATCTTAAATAAACCAAAATTTTGGTTCTTTTAGGACACCATTATATGTTAGGATTTATCTAAAACTATCTGTAAGAGATACACAGCAATAAAGAATACTTCATTAAACTCTAATTTATGATTGTGAGTCTGTGATGTTTTTGCTTAGCTACACTGTCACAATTTTCTTGGTGGGTTTCCTGTGTGGAAGTGTGAATCCTCAGTATTTTTACTTGGTCCAGGAACAAACTGGTCAGTCAATTTCTAAAACAATCAATGGATCATCATTTTGTTAATTGAAATCCCCCAAGCCCCACCCTCAAAGCAGACCCTGCACCTGTGTGAAAAATAATAGAATAGACCAAAAATACTCTTTCGTCTCTCCTTACAGGATTAAGAGTGCTTTGTTTTAACACAGCAATTTCTCTTTAAATCTGATGGGATTACGTAAAGGAGGAAGGGTAGCTGATGTTTTCTGAGATTCTGGGAAGGTGACATTGGATAGCTAGAGATACACTTTGCGCCAAAATAAATTAAGATAATGAATCTGGATCCTAGTTTAAGGATAATATGCCCCAAATCTAAAGGGGAAGCATCTATTGTCCTGTGGTTTGGGAAATACACATTTTTCTCTAACACTTTTCAGCAGCCATACTTTGCTCCTAATGTAGTAATGTCATTATGTTTTTAAATTATGTTTTTTTCCCAGATATCTAGGATAATATGCATGTGAAGCTTAGTGCAAGCTTAGTACATTTATTTTATTTTCAATTTCAGCTACTTAGGCATTATTTTGATGCTTTCTTGAGAAGCATTTTTGTTGCAATTTAAAGATGGTGATAATGTGTGTAAAGAAGCTGTGTTTTTCTAACACTCTTCATATTCTCCTGGGCATTATCACTTAGAGATTTTTTCCTCTTCAGGATACTCAGTTAATTTGGACAGTAGGGACTGCATGTCCTTTAAAATAAAATGAATGCAAAAATGGAACTATGTTTTTTACAGACCACATTCATTTAGGCTTCATGTCAATTATTCCTTTTATTTACATCTGCCCTGAACCAAATCTAATAATCAAGGTAAGATTCTATCAAGAATTAGTGATGATGATGATGATGAGTGAAGCTCAAAAGCTGCTCCCTGAATATTAGGTACGTATAAAATTAATTCCACAGTGTGTATCAGGATTGTCATTCCTGTTGATGATTTAGCAAGTCATACTTCTCACAAGATGATACATTTCATCCTAAGGACACATTAATTGTGTGTGATAAAATTTTATTGAAATTAGCTTTATTTTTTTTAAAAAAGATCATTTTTTAAATTATTTTTCAAGATCAGTGAAGCAGCCCTGACTGTTTTGTTTTGTGAAAAGAAAACTGGCAGTGAAGTACAGAAGATTGATGTAAGGATTAGATGAATACATATCAAGGCTTCATAGGAGGACCTGCTATGACACAAGTTGATTCTTAAAACTATTATTAATTAAGAGCTACACTCCTAGAAAATTCTAGACCAACTTTTTGATTGGCAGTACTTTGAAGTCATAATTATCATATACACTGTGGCTTCTCATATACACTTGTGTTAGTTCTGAAGGTGCTCTCAGAAAGTCTAGGGCAAATGCAATTTCCCCCATTTGCTTATAGTTCTTTCCAGTTGTATAGCTACTGACTACTGCATATCTTAAAGATGATGCCAAATGATTTCTTTGCTGGATTATGTGCAGAAGATACAGAAAACTAAAATCATAAATCATGCACATATATGAGAAGTGCAACTTAATTTTTAACTCAATTAACAATAGGAAAAAACTTTTAATTTGAGATTAAATATCAAATAGGTTGAAGTACCATACTTTGAACAACTTCCTACGCCATCAAGCTATCAGCAGAAAAACAAAAATATAGTTATCATATTTGATAATCCTACTACAGTATGTATATTTGCAGAATATGATTGGATGAACAGACTGCACAAATACCCTTGGTCTAAGCAAAGTAGGCATGGCCAGTGAAACTTCAGCTAAAAAAGAAGAGTAAAAAAGTTACTCAATCTCACTTTCTAATTTTAGTTAGTTAGCAGAGGAAATGAATAAATTATGAAAGATTTTTGTTTATCTCCAGAATGAATATTGGTTAATTGAATAGTGATATAAACACTATGTTTATGCTGGATTTCTCTTCGGTGACATTGATCAGAAATAAACAAAAGCCAACAAAGTTCTGTTTTCTAAACACAACATCTGATATTTATCAGGTCTTTTACGTTAATTGATGTGATCCCAATGACTTTTTCCTCAGAACCTCCAAAACTGGATTTTTGTGGCTTATAAGTATGAAATCATTAACATAAAAATACTTTCATGCTTTCTATGTATCTTAAGTTTATGAACTGTTTTACAGCTGTTTTCCTTGGTTATGCTAAAAGCGAAGAAGTGAAAAGTAAGTTCTGAGCATCTCAAATAAATTTTGTATCATATTTGCAGGCATGGTAGTGACAAAGCAAGAGAACCAAACAGAAATAACAGAATTCCATTTAGTAGGATTTGTAGGACTCGGAGATCTGCAAGTTCCTGTCTTCTGCCTCTTCTTACTTATCTACCTTGTTACCATGGTTGGGAACATCCTCATCATTTTGCTCGTTGTTATTGATCCTCAACTTCACACCCCCATGTATTTGTTCCTTAGTAACCTCTCTTGCCTGGAAATCTGTTACAGTTCTAACATCCTTCCAGGGATGCTGGCTAGCATCTTGTATGATGGGCGGAGAACAATATCTGTAATTGGCTGCATATTGCAACATTGTCTTTTTGGTCTTTTGGCAGCTACTGAGTGTTGTCTCCTAGTGGCAATGTCCTATGATAGGTATGTAGCGATCTGTAAACCACTGCATTACACCATTCTAATGAACAATAGAGTTTGCCTCCAGCTTATAGCTGGATCATGGATTCATAGTTTAATAATTATGAGCATAATTTTATATTTAATGGATCAGTTAAAGTTCTGTGGCCCTAGTGAAATC